TTCATTTCAAATCCATTGTGGTGGTGTATAGAGCCAAAAATGTTAGAATTGTGTCGATGTCCCAATATTTATGGACCTGACTGTATATGTATATATATATATATATATATATATATATATATATATATAATATAATATTTTGAGCTGTGGTTAAGGTGTTCATGGAACAGCTGCTATATCCCAATATGGCATCCATGTTGGTGTAGCTGTGTGACACTGAGTTTGATATACATACCTGTACCCTCACGAATGTCATATTGGGACATAGCGACTGTAAAAATACAATGACTAATGCACTTGTTTAATATCTGTAAATAACTTTGCAGGGCTTTGTACCATAATCATAATGTTAGTGTCATTTTAATCTGGACAAACTATGTAGGTATGCAAGGAAATATCGGCAACCGAAATGTATCAACCAAAAATAGTGTTATTGGCATTTTGCCAATAGGATAAAAAGGTGCCGATAACGGCCGCTGAAAAAAGCACAATTTTGTTTGCGATTTTACCACGTTTAGACCGTTTTGTTAGCTGTAGCAAAACGCCCGTTGCTCAAAAAAGTACTTGCATTACTTTTCAGGCATATCTAAGCGTTTTGTCCCCATAGACTTGAATAGAAAACGCCTGAACAATGGGAATGAGTTTTTTTCAAGCATCTTTTCAAGTGTTTTTTTTTTCAGGAGTTTTCAGCTCAAACAGCAACTATTTATATTTCTATTGGCCACAGCAAAAACCCCTAGATGAAAAACGACTGAAGAAACGCCTATAATACACTGCTCAAAAAAATTAAAGGAACACTTTTTAATCAGATTATAGCATCAAGTCAAATAAACTCCTGGGATATTGATCTGGTCAGTTAAGTAGCAGAGGGGGTTGTTACTCAGTTTCAGCTGCTTTGGTGTTAATGAAATTAGCAACAGGTGCACTAGATGGGCAACAATGAGACAACCCCCAAAACAGGAATGGTTTTACAGGTGGAGACCACTGACATTTCTTTTCTCTACTTCTCTTTTCTGACTGTTTTTCACTAGCTTTGCATGTGGCTAGGGTCAGTGTCACTATTGGTAGCATGAGGCGATACCTGGACCCTACAGAGGTTGCACAGGTGTCTTTCATACAGGTAACAAGCTGAGATTAGAATCAGTCTCTTAAAGGGAGTGCTGGTAATCTCATTTTGTTACTTGTATAAAAGACACCTGTCCACAGGAGCAATCAAACAATCAGATTCCAAACTCTCCACCATGGCAAAGACCAAAGAGCTGTCCAAGGATGTCAGGAACAAGATTGTAGACCTAAACAAGGCTGGACTGGGCTACCAAACTATCACCAAGCGGCTTGGTGATATAATATCTATGCAGCAAACAATCCTGAGTAGAAATTCTCTCCCATATGAAAGATAACTTCTCCACCTTTAAAGATCTCCTAAATAGAAGAAACTCCAAGCTGCTTTTATTCTGTCTTATACTTTCTTTGTGGTTTAATATCTGAGTGCAAGTATTGTTATATATCACATTATCTAACACCTCAAGTGTTTGGTGTATCAACTGGAGAGAATAAACCCAACTGGGATACCACATGCGCAATTTCTTTGAGAAATAAGGTCATATACCTTCGGTGAGTGCAGTGTGTTCTCTTTTGGGAGGATGGAAAAGCACTTATTTCCTGCTTGTTTTCTCTTACACAGTTAGAACACAGATATCGGGCACAGAACACTTTGTTTTGAACAGTGATGGACATTTGTTGTGTTATAAATTAAGTTCAAATATTTATATAATTTATTAGAGTCTCACAAATAGTTTATGGTGAAATCAGACATTTTTTTTTTCACAATTGTATGTCATTGTTTGTGATTTATAATCATTATGTACATAGTTTATGTGGAAGTAGGGCACCTGAATATATTTATATTGTGGTATTTATTTATTGATAGGGGCTTGAAGAGCGCAGTCCATATTGTTTGGCATCTGATTTTTGGCTTCTTATAAGCTGATAGACGAGCTGCTCTAGAAGGGGTTTTATTTATATATTTATTTATTTTATTTATTCATTTGATGTTATGTTAACAAAAAAAATGTTTTTGGGTAATAGGAAGCGCAGTCTTATTTATATACCTAAAGGAAATAACTCTAGCACATGATACAGCATCATTACATGAAGACCTTGACAAAATAGGAATCAGGCAGCTACATAGCAGATAAGGTTCAACATGAAATGTAAGGTTATGCCCTTGGGTGCAAAAAAAAAAAAAAAACCCCACAGAGGGGTTCCCTAGGATAATCAGTCTTGGAACAGATGTGCTTATAGATCACAGATTTAGCAATAGTATGCAGTTCAGTTTCTGTCACTAAAATAAAGGGTTTTTTTCATGTTTGCATTTTCTTTTAAAATGTGACACTCAGGCTACTTTCACACTGATCTGCCGCAAATACACAGCAAATACTGCTGAGCATTTTTTAAAGGACATGCGACATAAAAACAGCACCAAAAACGCTTCTCAGGGGTATTTTTGAGGAGTTTTCCATTGATTTCAATGGGAAGAGGTGTTTTTTTTTACCTGAACAAACATGCTCCAAAGATGCTGCAAGCAGGAGATTTTACACCACAACAGAAGCATAACACCCCAGTGTGAAAACGGACATAGACATATTATTATTATTATACAGGATTTATATAGCTCCAACAGTTTGCTCAGCACTTTACAATATAATGGGAGACAATAGAGCAACAATACAGTTCAATACAAGAGGGATAGGAGGGCTCTGCTCCACATACATAGCGAAGCATTTTTTCTTGAGCTTTTCAGGCGCTTTTTATTTAACGCAAAAACCCTTCAAAAGCACCTCAGGGTGAAAGTAGCCTTACAAAACAAATAAAATGAAAAAAAAAGTTTGAGGCTCCTGCACATTGACCATGCACAATAGATAGTCTAGACTCTAGAGGCTCTTCTTTATTTTGTTTTTTTCCCTTTTGTTTTGCGCTTTTGAAAGCTTTTTTCTGCTAGAAAAAAATTTAAAATGTTAGTTAAAAAAAAAATGCTTTTTTTCTGCCAAGAGCACTGGTGTTTTTTTGAGCTAATGTGCATGGAGCCTGAATATTAACCATTTTACAACGCACATCAGTGAATGGTTTTCAAATTTTTTGCTCTTCTTTTTTTGTTTATAGCGCAAAAAATAAAACACCCAATGGCAATTAAACACCACCAAAAGAAAGTTCTATTTGTGTGAATTTTTTTTTAAACATTTCATATAGGTACAGTGTTGCATGACCGTGCAATTGTCATTCAAATGCGACAGCACTGAAAGCTGAAAATTGGCCTGGGCACGAAGGGGGTATAAGTGCCGGTAGGCAAGTGGTTGACAATTACGCATTCATGCAACGCTATACCAAAACTAAATTTACACACCCCCTTTTTTTCCCATGAATTAAGCTCTCTTTCAGTGGTATTTGATCGCCTGCGCTTTTTTTATTTTTTGCACTGTAAGCACAACGTAAATTAATTGGCTTACGTGAAAGTTATAGTGTTTACAAATGACGGTATAGATACTGGGATTTTTTTTTTCTACTAGTAATGGCAGCGATCACTGACTTTTAGCAGGACTGCGGCAGACATTCTGACACTGGGGGGGAACTTGGTGTCACTGACACCTCAGTGTCACCAATACATTGATGAGTGCTAAAAAAAAGCACTGACACTGTACTAATGGCACTGGGCAGGAAGGGGTTAATGTGAGGGGAGATCAAAGGGTTAACTATATGCTGGGAGTGTTTTACTAGGGGGGGGGGGGGTGTGCTTTACTGTAAGCACACTGATCGAGATGGCTGTGCTGTGCACAGCCATCCCAAGCAGTGTGCTCAAGCTGACAGGGAGGAAGACTGCAAACAAAACATTCTTCCTCCCCGTCGGTGATTGTCGGTAAACATCGGGCGCCGGAGAGTAATTACCGTCCGGGACCCGGTGATTGACATCCGCGGCCGTGAATGGCCCCCTACCCATAAATGCAAACACACATATATATACACGTGATTTTGCGCACAGGTGCCACCGTGTAGCAGTATATCTGCTATGCAGTGGTCTGGAAGTGGTTAAGGACTGTTAAATCTTTTAAATGAATGCAAAAAATTGGATTTTTTGATACTTGCCATAAACTCCCTTGAAGGACACAGTTTAATCTTGACCATAGGTCCTTCTATACTGCTATATCTATAGCAGCGGTTCTGAAGTCACAATGATATCCCAGTCCCAGTACACAAAAGTCCCCAGGACTGCCGACAGCGCATCCAAAGGTATGGCAGGACCTATGGTCAAGATTCACAATGAGCTGTGTCCTTCAAGAGAAAATACACACATAGTGAGTTGAGTTGAAGGCTCTATGTACAGTAATGGAGTTAAACTTTTGGGAAAAATGCAGCAAAATCACAAGAAGTGCTGAAATTATGCAGGAAGAAAGAAAGAAGCATGAAGAATGCATGACTAACTGAAGAGAATTGTAACATTAAACCAAATGATAACTTTAGTATAAGCTGTGGGTAAACATGAAAATATTTGAAAAAAGTCATTGAGACCCTCTAGGACACCATTTCACTACTGCACTTCAGTTAACTTACTACCACTGTCTGATTAAGGCCTTGTTCACATGGGCACACTGTCCACATTTAGGGACACGCACCCGTACCTGCATTAAAGTCAAATTGGGACCAGCAGCTGTTCTTGGAAATGCTGTGTCCCAACTTATATGAATAAGATTGCCTGCATGTTGATGCACTGAACACTTGTGCATACCATGCAAGCAAGGACAGCCCTCACATGGATTTACGCACTGCTACGCACCGTGTGAACAAGGCCTTACAGAAAGCCTTTGATTTATTTTGCAAAGTCGCCATTATAAAATTGCCAGATGTTTTCACAATAGGCTTACCAAGCCTAGAACACTATACTATGAAAGTTTCTGTGATTGCAAGCTTAGCAAATGGAAGCACAATACTGTGAAAATGAACAATACCTTTGGATCATGGACAAATGTGTTTCCTTTAGACCCAGGTGGAAAATCCCCCGTTGTGATATACTTGAGGCACTCAATAATAGTCTGCAAAAAAAAAAAAAAAGAGAAAAAACACACAACAGTTGTTAAATAGAACATTCTCATTGAAAACAAACAAGATTTAAAGTGTTTGTGAACCCCAACAATGAACTAAACCTATTGGTTTATTTTTGGTGAATTCACACCCGTGCATCCCCTACGGACCAGAGTAATGTTTGCATTTCTGCAAAGGACCTGTTTATTCTACAATAACTTTGACAATACTTAACCCCTTCCTGCCAACTCCCTTCTGAACACCCAAGGGGTGGGAAGTATCAGCGATCACATGACACCTATGATTGGCTATCACAGCTGTCACATCATCGGGAGCCAGTCCCACTGGCTACTGATCATGAGTGGGGAACTAGATCTGTTTTAGCTCAGTCTCTGTGCTGGGAGCATGTAGTGAGTGCACTCCCAGCACAGAAACCCTGGCCACTCAGGGATACATAAGTGCTGTGCAAAGACCTTACAGCCCACCCTTTTGCCACATGTCAGCAACAACCCATGCAATCTATACAAAGAAACCAAAACAAATAAGTTTAGAAAGTAAGTTATGTGTAATAAAATAAAATGACACAAGGGAAAAAAAATATTGGACACATGAAAACAGAGGCATGGAAAGTCAAAACACAAATCTGTCAGTAATTAGAAAGCAATCCTGCCCCTTGTCAGTGCAATTTAATATTAGATGGTTCAGTCTCAACTGATGGCCTATAGAAAGCTGTCTCATTACCAAGGTGTCACACAAGAAACATCTCATGATGGGTAAAAGCAAAGAGCTCTCTCAGCACCTTCGCAATCTTATTGTTGCAAAACAATATACTGATGGCATTGGTTACAGTAGTTCTAAACTTCTGAATGTTCCAGTGAGCACTGTTGGGGCCATAATCCATAAACCAGCCTCCAACAGGTGCTCTTCACAAGATTTCTGTCAGTAGAGTGAAAAGAATTATCAGAAGAGTTGTCCAAGAACCACTTATGGAGAACTTCAGAAAGACCTGGAATTAGCAAGTACAACTGCTTCAAAGAAAACAGTAAGTAATGCACTCAACCGCCATGACCTGTATGCACGCTTACCACGCAAGACTCTATTGCTGAAGAAAAAGCATGTTGCAGCTCGTTTAAAGTTTGCTGTACAACAATTTGACAAGCCTGTGAAATAGTGGGAGTATATAGTCTGGTCAGATGAGACCAAAACTGAACTCTTGGCACTGCACATCACCCTAAAAGCACCATAGTGAAGTTTGGAGGTGGGAATATCATGGTGTGGGGCTGTTTTTTCTCAGCATACGGTACTGGCAAACTTCACATCATTAAAGGAAGGATGAATGGAAAAATATAATTCTTGATAAACATCTGCTACCATCTACCAGGATGATGAAGATGAAATGAGGGTGGCCATTTCAGCAACACAATGATCCCAAACAGAAAGCCAAGGAAACTCTAAATTGGTTTCAAAGAAAGAAAATAAAACTGCTAGAATGGCACAGCCAATCACCTGGCTTGAATCCAATTGAAAAATCTATGGAAAGAACGAAAGATCAGAGTTTACAGAAAAGGCCAACGAAACCTTCAAGATTTGAAGACCGTTTGTGTGGAAGAATGGGACAAAATCACACCTGAGTAATGCATGCAACGTTTCTCCATACAGGAGGCGCCTTGAAGCTGTCATTACCAACAAAGGATTTTGTACTAAGTAGTAAAAAAAATTTCAGTTAGTGTGTTCAATACTTTTTCCCTGTGTCATTCCATTTTACTACATATAACTTAATTGCAGAACGTATTTGTTTTGTTTTCTTTGTATGTATGGGTTGTTATCAACATGTGGTGAAAATTTCATGTCAATAGCACCTTTAGAAATCTATTTACCTAGAAAAATGATAATGTGTTCAATACTTATTTTATCCGCTGTATGTGTCAAGTGGCATATGAAACCTTTCTACCTGCACAACATGCATTGATCATGCGGTTTCATGATGTAATTTTTTTCCCTATATGCACAGCCTAAAGTAAAGAAAATTTTCACATTCCTGTGTCAGCAGTTTCTGCTTGTATTCAAACATGAGGCACACATCATGGCACTGCACAAGTTAATGCTTTGTTAAAGTTAAAGAACTTACACTTCCTGTGAAGAAACTAGATATCCCACAATCCCTGGATCTCTCAATCTAGGGTTCTGCAGATAAAAGCTAAACAGTAATTGGATCTGACACAGACACAAAAAGTCTTAACAAAGAGATTATAATGCAGTCTTCATCACATTAGCACTACCACACTTGTAATGCAACACAAAGGAAATGAGGAATCATGCACTGGATGCTGTGTGACCCAAACAAGAAGTTGACTGTTCCTTTAGCAAACAGGGACAAGCTATGTGAATGAATACATGGACACAGGGGAATTGATAGCCCTGACAACACAAACTGCAGCTACAACATGTGAACCCATCATTACAAAGTAAGACCAACAAGGACCAGCAGGGTTTTCTTTTTATGATCTTGTCTTGCAAAATGTAGGGGAAATTAAGGGTAAAATAAAAGCTAAAAAGAGACAAATTTCATATTAAAAACAACAAATTTGTCGCTTGCTGGCCCAAAAAAAATTATTTCCATGATTAAGAAATATTTATAGAGTGCTGTGTTCTGCCAGTGGTACAAGGCTTCCCATCTGATGTTAGAACAAAACGTGCTCTTACCCATTCAATGGAATCCTTACATTTTTATGAATACAAGGCTTCCTCTGATAGGCAGAGGTAGAGACGCGAGTGGATGAATCAAAGCCAACGCAAGCCTTGTACTCATTCATAAAAATCCGACGCTTCCTGTGAATGGCTAAGCAGCATGTAACCCAATTATATTTTGCACAGAGAATGTAAGCCAAAAACACAGCACTGTACAGTATACTATATGTAGATAATGCTGCATACCGTTTATACAGCACTGACAGCAGCCACATTTCTTAGTAATGTAAATAGTTTGTTTAGGCGAGCTTGGCCCAAATTATTAAAAATAACACCAAACCTGGAGTTAGGCTTTCAAATGACATCATCTGCTTATCCCTTTGATCTACAGATGAATAAAACAGTAGATACAAAACGTAACAATGTTACTTTGTATCTCTATATTTCGGGTCTGAACTGTGTTGATGAACACAGTGTCAGGCTAGGTTCACATCCAAATGGGTTAATGGCGCTGTGGGACTACATCTGTTCCCACAGCCGCAACTACCCACACAGAAAAATCCACTAGATGCGTGTGAGTGTCACTAATCCTAATTGCACCCACATGCACTAGAAACCGCAGCAGCACTGGGATCCGCACTGCAATTGCAGTTTCCATTTGTGCTACGATTTCAAAAATGAAGCAGGGTCCTTTTCCCTGCATTTCAAGTGGCACGGCAACCCATTAAAATAAATAGGCTGCTGTGCCCACGCAAAACACGACTCATAGAGCCCCAACAGTATTAACCTGGCCTCAAACGTTTTTTTTTTTTTTTTTAACAGTAACAGCTGCTAGAGCAGATGTGTTCAAAGAGCAAATCACAGCTTTGATTTTAAGAACCAAGAACTCCTGAGTAGTGGCGGTGAAGGGGCGTGGCAGCAGGGCAGAAAGACTTTTTTGGGGGGCATCTGTAGCACATGCAGTGTCCTCGCCTAGTTAATACACCATTGGAAGCATTTTGTTATATGGTTGATAAGTGCAAAAAAATAAAAAATAAAAACTGTTGATCCTCTCAGAAATTCAAAGCCATCATGTGTGCTCTGCACACTGCCTATGTTATCCTGTGCAGTTCTAACAAAGACCAAATGTAAAAATCCTAGACTGCAGGTTGTGAGGATTGAGCACAGTGAAGTCCCTCTGCTGATCACCTCTGCTAGGCTGGTGTTTGCAGAGTTTTATATTGATGGCATTCTGTGTAGAATCTTGAGGCATACCGGCAATAAAATAAACCCGCCAAGGCAACAGTACTTTTCAGGGGTTTTTCCAATGTTTATGCTTTGAGAGACAAAAGGCAAAATTACAACACTCACAAACTATAAGGGTTTGAATACCGTTTTGTGATCAATGTTTTCTATTACCTTTTGTAGAACAATCCTCCCAGCAATTTTTTCCTTCACTCTTGTAGGGCTACAACTTCTCCTGCCTAGCACCCTTGACCCTCAAATGTATGGCTCTCTTGTCACCAGGCAAACACTAACTAAACAGTTAAAATACACAATCTCTTTAAAGTGAATCAAGACCCCCTCCCCCCAAACCTTTTCTACATATACCAGTCTCTCTCTCTCTCCATCTATATATACACTATATTGCTAAAAGTATTGGGACGCCTGCTTTCACATGCACATGAACTTTAATGGCATCTCAGTCTTAGTCCGTAGGGTTCAATATTGAGTTGGCCCACCATTTGCTGCTATACAAGGCTACAACTCTTCTGGGAAGGCTGTCCACAAGGTTTAGGAGTGTGTCTATGGGAATGTTTGACCATTCTTCCAGAAGCGTCTTTGTTAGGTCAGGCACTGATGTCGGACAAGAAGGCCTGGCTCGCAGTCTCCGCTCTAATTCATCCTAAAGGTATTCTGTCGGGTTGAGGTCAGGACTCTGTGCAGGCCAGTTAAGTTCCTTCACTCCAAACTTGCTCATCCATGTCATTATGGACCTTGCCATGTGCACAATCATATTGCAACAGGAAGGGTCCATCCCTAAACTGTTCCCACAAAGTTAGAAGCATGCAATTGTCCAAAATGTCTTGGTATGCTGACGCCTTAGGAGTTCCCTTCGCTGGAACTAAGGGGCCAAGCCCAACCCCTGAAACACAACCCCACACCATAATCCCCCCTCCACCAAACGTTACACGTGGCACAATGCAGTCAGGCAAGTTCTCCTGGCAACCACCAAACCCACACACGTCCATCGGATTGCCAGACAGAGAAGCGTAATTCGTCACTCCAGGGAACACGTTTCCACTGCTCTAGAGTCCAGTGGTGGCGTGCTTTACACCACTGC